ATCTTCCTATACCACAGTAAATTAGGCAAGTTGATAACATCAAGTGAGCTGCTGACAGCCCAAGGCTACGTATGTCTGGACCATGATAAAGGGCTTGAACCAATGAACCTATACACCTGTATGCCCAAGGTTTAAGAGGTCTTGATCTACAGCAACTGCCTTTTTTTTTTTTTTTTTTAAATACCCTTTGTAGAGCTATGGTTTAATAAAAGGGATGTCCCAGCAGGTTACCGTGGGAATAGGAATCTACAAAACACCGTTTTTCATTAGCTTAGGGCTTGTGTATGCATCATACTGTGTCTCTTTCTTCTCTCTCCCACAACACCCTGTAACCAAATACCACAATTCAATGAGATGGTAAATAAGCCACAGACACATCTTAAACTTTAAAACCACAGGTGCTCCAGTAACTTCCTATCCCTTCCTCTTGAATCAGAGCTGAAAGGAGCAGAAAAATGCATGTACAAAAATAGCGGTAGGTGCTAGAAAGGCTTCCTTTTTGAGGAAACTGAATGAGGTGACCTGCCTCAGAGAATCATAGAATCATAGAATGGTTAGGGTTGGAAGGGACCCCAAAGATCATCTAGTTCGAACCCCCCTGCCATGGGCCGGGACACCTTCCACTAGACCAGGTTGCTCAAAGCCACATCCAGCCTGGCCTTGAAGACATCCAGGGATGGGGCATTATTAAATTATTAAATTAATTAATTAATGTCTTCTTCCACAAAAATGGAATGAACTGGATATTCAGTGTTCTACTGGGGCATCGGGCAGAAACCAGTAACATTTACTGCAGTAAATTCAGCTTAATTTGCGACTCCAGACTCATGCTTTCAGAATCACACAAAAATCTCTCATTGTCCTCCCTTCTCTTTCCTTCTTCTGGACCCAGTGCGACACCAGCGGTGTGTAGCTAGAAACTGGTAAAGCACAAGTCAACGGGGCTGTGACTGCCTTGACACATGCCGCTTCGCTCCACACCCCCCACCACACACACAGACTGCTTACTCCTTTTCTGAGGTTTATGGGCCACAGCAGCAAAACCAATTATGCTTCAAGAGCTGTTCACTCAACCCCTCCTACCTCTTTGTTTTCCAGTAACCTGGGAAAAGGTTGGGAAATGAAATCCAAGATGATAATAAAGCAGAAAATAAACTTTCAGATCGTTTCTCACACGAGAATGCCAGCTAGAACCAGGCTCCCTCACCACCCCAGGTTCTGGGGTTCACATCTCCTTGCAGTGATTCAGTGCTGGTTGGGCACGCCATTGTGCGTAATAACTGAGCGGCAAGGGAACGCGGTATTTTGAGATGATACAGCTTTAACAGACCTGTGTAGAACTCACATTTCAGAAACCTCTATATAAATGTCTGTCCTAGAGAAGTGTCTCGACCTCAGATTTCTTCTGAAATGATGTCTTGATTACCTGAGTAGGAAGGATAACATGGAGTGCTTCAATTAAGCTTTAAGAAAGGCCAACACTCTCTCTTGTCCAGTGCTAAACATGCTGTCCCAGCAACGGCTTACAAACCTTGCTTTTGGGTGGGAAGAGGTCTCTTGAGGCTAAGATAAAGACAGCGTTGTCCTGTTTGTTGAGAGCATCAAACTAATCTTTATCCTACAGGTTCATAATTTTAGGTGTAATCTTGAAATCTGACAAATGAGGAGAAACGTGAAAGAGTCGGTACAGAAATGTTCAACCATGTATACATTGCAATCTACAGAACAAGTAACATACTAATTACTCCTGTTCTTTAATTAATAAATCACGAAAATAAAGACTTCCCTGGTGAATTGTGAAAGCCAGCTTTTTGTGAGTTTTTGAGTGCCTGAGTGTACTTCAAAGTTGCAGCTTTTTTTTATTACAGAGAAGACATGGAGTCTCGAGACCTTTCAGATAAAGCTTTTAGTAGGTTGTTCTTCCAAAATTTTCTTTGGCTTGAAGGGAGGAGGTTGGTATAGCACAGAACTACCAATTGCACGTAATGGTAATAGAAATGCTCTGAAAAAAATCCAAGAAAGCGGGGGTAGGATGTTCAGCGTGTAGCAACTGTGACCTGCAAAAACGCAGCTGCTACTCCACAGTCCATGAGCGGACACTCGGTGTAGCCTTACTGAGCTGGGCACTCCCACCTGCCCTGCTGTACAGCCATGCTTTACCCAAACCTTCACCCCAGGTACCAACTGTCCCTCCCCAACACCTGCCAGGCTGTGTCCCTGCCGTGGCTCCCTCCAGCAAGCACTGCTGCAGTACCACGGCCCACAGAGACCCTGAATTTGGAAGCCACTGGTACGGAATATTTGCAAATGGAATAACAGTAGGGTTTTTTTTCCACTGATCTTTCTGGTGGCACTGAGTTTTGAGTGTGTTCATACATGGTGGGGAAAAAACATGTCAGGTAACGTGACAGAGAAAAGGTGGAAAAAAGGGGCTGCAGCTGGCAGCTTCGACAGAGGGTCTGCAATGATCCTGTAAAGCTTGACCCTTCTCCCTCCTCTCCTGCTGCTGCTGTTCCCCCATGGAAACCCCCACATCACACGTAACTGCCTGCAGAATGGCAGCTCTTGTCAACAGCAGCATCCTGGTCCTTGCAAGATGAAGCAAAGAGAGACTTCAGCCCTGCCAAACCTTCAGGTGCAGCCCTAACTACTGCTGATTCTGCATCCTCCAAACCTGTGTCTGAGCAACGTAACGCAGCTTAGGGAGCAGGGCTGTGAGGTCGTCTGGGGAACGCCTGTGACAGAAAGATAGGAAAACAGCCATCTGCGTCAAGGCATGATTTGGAAGAGCTACAGCTCAAGGAGAACATGGCTCTTAACCCGATGAAAGTTTTTGCTGTGTGGTTTGTAACGTCATTGCTGCTCTGCTGCAGTGTTGCCTGAGCATCTGTCGCAGTCCACTGTTTGCAGTCTTCTACTCTGAAGACTACAAACAGGGTCAGCATTTACACACTGCTCTTTGTCTTAAAAAAAATCCTATCTCACAACATCTAAGAAGATCTACCCAATGGAACTATCACACCAAAGCTCATTTCACCCTCTGAGTCACTCACTAGACAGATGACCAAAAAAGAGGAAAAAGCGCCATTCATTAAGTAGGGATCTTCACAAAGTCCCAAAATACTTCTGAAGGGTGCTTGTCAGAACAAACAAACATACCAAAGGAACAAACAGTCTTATGAATTAAGTAAAGAAATAAATAAAGGGAAAACATGCGAAAATTTCAACAACCGTGCCAATCTGTTGCGAGCTGTACCCGTGCCAGTGAGCGGCCTCGGGGCACCGTAGGATTCCTCAGAGCAGTGCCAAGCTCCAGCAATATTGTTATGGTTAGAGAGGAATTTCTCACAAGAGCTAACAAAGGCAGAAGGTCATAAATAAACACAGCAGGATCCCCTTGTCAGTTCTCATTATTAGCGCTGCAGGCACTTGCAGCTATGGGCTGCTCGCAGGTTCATTTAAGTGTAAGAGCTCCTCCTCAGAATTTCACATGCTCATAAATAAAGACAACATCTCTAAAGAAATAAAGGTACACCTAAGTTATGTTTTTACTGCTATTTTTCAGGCGTGCAGGAGCTGCCCGTGCCACCTGCGGCCGCCCTGTCCATACGCACCCACGCGCGCTCCCCGCACCGCTGAAAGCTAACGCCCAGCTAACCCAGAGCCGCAACGTCCTTCCATGCCCGCCTCCGATACGCCGTGCGGGCCTCTGACAGGCTGTGGCCATAATGAACGAGGAGACCCTTCCCACTGTAATAACGGTCACCAGAATTACATCTGGGCAGGAAACGAGCCTGAGCTCCTAAACTGATCCTGACATGCGTTATACAACTAGGAAGGCACAGCTGTGTGATCATTACTGCAATTATAAAATGACATGTAGCGTTGACTTTCTTTTGTAACTGAATTTTGAAACAGAGAGGAGCAGTACCAGTACCTCCAGGGGTACAAACATGCAAAGAAGGGAGTAAAAAGTTCTTAATATCTCAAGCGCTGGTCCTTCATCTCCTGTCAGAAGGTAACAAATAGCCAAGTGAAAGTATCTTACCTCTGCCATACACATACCTGCCTATCTATCTACATATTCAGACCTATATAAATGAGTGAAAAGTGAGCTCTGTATAAAACTAGATGCAGTTTAAATAAATTAACACTACCACGTAGTACATACTGATTTCAAGTTGCATATGTAATGCTTTTCAGAATATGAGAGGAAATTTAGAGATCAGAAATGCTGTCCCTAGAATACTTCTGTTTTCTATTTACTATGCTGGGGTGGGGGGGTGGTGGGGAAGAAGAAAGCTCAAAGTTTCATAACCCTGGAAAACACGACCATTAAATTAAAAGCAAATTAACAGGCCTTATGTTATACAGGGGATACCAGAGGATGCCCAGCAGCGTGAACAATGCTGCTCAGTCACCGTCCCTTCCAACAAGAGAGGTGGTAGAGAACGTAATTACTCACCTGCCAAAAAAATCCCGAAACACTGCTCCCTCCTATGAACTGTACCGAACACTAATGCACCGGTTTGTTAAACAGTCGTGTCTATCTTTCTAGTGGGCTAAAATCTGGCCAACATTATCGTGACTATAATCCGTGCTATCTCGAAGTCTCACCTTTTAAAGCAAATTGCATGACTGACAAGCAAAAGCCCTGGTGCCTTGTAAGCTTTCTGTGAGCAGCTCGGGAAATTCGTTTTCCTTCCAGTTTGCTTCCTACCCCATCACCTGCTATCAAAAGAAGCCAGGTTGTTAGTCCTGATGCGCTACGGCGGAAAAGCCGTGTTCAAAGAACTGTTTCTCTCAGCCACGCAGCCCTTCATTACACACCATTCATCATTATCAACATCAGGAGTTGCTGGAACAGCCCTTGCGCATGGAAAACCTCCTCATTTCATTTTTTGAGGCTGCCAGCCCGCTCCCTCTTGCCGCGGTGCTCAGGCAGCGTTTGTGCTTGGGGCAGCGGGGCGAGCTGCATGCTCCTCCTCAGCACAGCCCACCCTGACGGGACAGCAGCCTCCGCTGTCCAAACTGCTGGCCCTTTTAACCTGGCTCCTACCAGACCCAAGACCAAAGGTGCTAGGGAAGCCACCCGCTTTCTGCACACCAGCAATGGTGTGTTTCTCGGCTCCGGCCTGCTCGAGAGGGGAGAGCTGCTGGAAGTGGAAGAAGCTGGAGTGAAGGATAATAGTTTCCTGCCAGTCAGTTCCTCGGTCTCCCTCAATCAGTAGGCAAGGTGCTGTCAGGGCAGAGGGCAGTCTGTTATCCCCTCTGCAAGCATGGAAACAGAGATGCTTCTTCATTTCTAGCCTCTTCCCTGTGTTCCCCCGACTCCCCACCATCTTGCTTTGGGCCTCCGGCTCCTGCCCTGGCACCATCTTGGCAGAGGGCTCATATGACCCATCCCTATGGAAATGGCCAACAGCTGCACGTTGACTCCAAGATCTCCACGTCTTCTAGACCTGTGGCTCTGAAGTACGGGTATTTCTGAGAGCAGGATACCCCAATCAAAACAGTACTTTAATGTTTTTTCCTTTATTTTTTTCTCACTAATATTTTAAAAACATTTACCTATCGGACACGTTGCAATCAGTTTATCGTCTCTGATCAAAACACTCTGAATTCTGAAGAAGCACTCCTCTGCCACTGATCTCAAAAGAAGAGCCAGGTTTCAGCCCACTCATCAAACACTCATATGCGTTAATTCTTGCGCCTCATTAATTATTTCAGAAGGGGAAATCCTCACACAAATCAGAAGGCGACTTAAACCTACTAAGTGCTGTGTACTATAAACGGTGGTGGGCAGAGCCTGGGAGAAGAATGCTTCTAAGGGCTCTCTGCAGCGCCCTGAAGTCACGGTGAAAAGAACTTCAGGGTTCACAGGCTCATCTTTTTCCTTTTTTTTTTTTTTTTTTAAGTACAATCTGTTTTGTTCTTCAGTGTTTGTGGTCTATTTCAGCAGCATGACACCCATGGCTTTTTTGCATTTTTGATATCTTAAACTTATTTCACATGGTTACAAGCTTGGAATTATATAGAACATTAAAGAAATGTTTTAAGGGCTTCAGATTCCAAATTAAATCATTAAATACTTTCTCATATTCAGCAGTGTATTTCATTGCCATAGATGCACTACTGCAGAGTTTTTCCTCTAGGAGCAGGAAATATTTATTTTGACCAGTCTGAAAAAGGTCATTTTACGTTTTTTAAGAGTGTGAAAAAATTATGCAAAGAACAGTTGAGGAAGGGGAAAAAAAAGAGCAGGAGGCATATTTCTCATAAGAATTATGGAGGCACTTTCTTGTTACAAAATATCATTTGTTATTTTTCAATCAAAGAAAACTGCAAGGAAAGACTAAAAAGGTTGAAACAAGTACTCTAAAAATTATGAATGTGCCAAAAGATCACAAATAGCATGTTAATGTCAGAACGTTGACTCCCGTTGCCTTCTCAGGATTTTAATTTTGCTTTTTAAAGGGAGAAAAAGAGAAACAGAGAAGGCATCATTAGACTAAATCCATCCTGCCTAGCCTTTATTTTTCACGCTAAAACCCCCAAACTGTGTCCATAATCTGTATCGGTTTGTACCTGACCACTTCAGCCGTCCCTGACACTTGACCTGCTTCCGAGAAGCAAGAAGTCCAATTTAAGTCGACGGTCCTACGGGGAGGTAATGGTTTGACCCCTGGTCCCTCCACCGCAACGTTTCCAATTCTCTAATGATTTCCCTGCAGGGTTCATTTACCAGTTCTGGGTCAAAGACCAGCTCATCCACGAAGGCAAGGGGCAGCACGAGCACTGCATGATGGATTTGAAAGTAAGTGCAAGGAGGTAAAAGCAAAGGAAACCTCCATCAATTAGGGATGGCCTTTGAATTCAAAACAAAAGGAAGCAAAGAGCAAATCATGATGTCCGTGCTGTTCACTTTAGCAGCACACGGATACATACACGGAGAGGTGCATCCCAGCCTCAGCGCAGAACCAGCCATCATCCTAGGACAAACAGTCCCCATTCACCCTCAGACGAACCCTCTCTCTCTCACTCTGACCAACTGGGGCACTGAAGGGATTCAGTATCTCATTCCAAGTAGTACTTCAATATTACAGGCACTGTGACTCTCTGTAAATACTAAGACCTGCTGTAACTAAGAAGTAAAAGATTATCCAGATCCACATTTTGGAATCTGTGCCTTCATTTACCTTTGCAGGGAACAGCAAAATTACCAGTTACAAGTACTGCTTTTCCAACCCCCTACTGCCATGCACATATTAGAGCAGCTGCCAACTGTCTTCCAGCGTTCCTCAGCACTGAAATGCACTACGTGCATTTTTGGAAAGAAAGGTACAAGGAAGCAGATTTTGTAGCACAGAAGGAGATGCAGTAACAGCGTAAAAACATGAACACATTGAAAAAACCCAGCCTGTTCCTAGTGAAAGATGGAGGGGAAAGAAGAATTATGCACCTTACCGCCAGTGAACACGCAAATTCAAAAAAAACATGAGACTGCAAAAAATAACTCTTAAGAAGCTCTCTGCTTCCCTGCGTGAAGCGACCCGGCAAAGCCACTCTGACATCTCAGCTGACACCAGTCTTCAGAAGCCACGGCTACAGCTAGTGGTCACCGAGCTCCCATCTAGTGAATCCAGATCAGCTGCAACAACTAAGGAAGGCAGCTATAGCCACGCATGCAACTCTCAGTGCCGTGGCTGTAAGGCCACCAAAATGAAAACATGGAAGAATTCCTACAGTGACAAATCGTCTTCTTTTTATATTATGCTTTTAATACGTCTCGGTTTCCCTTCCCTATGCATTTTCAAAGGACAGGGAAAAACTGCTTATCTGATGTTCAAAATATATTTGTTATCATGCCTTTTGCCAAGGCGTTTCAAAATTAATAGTGATTGAGATCCCATGAAATGCTCTAATTTTCCAAGAGTTCCAAGAAGCCTGAAAAGAAGAGACTTCCTCATGGTGTTTCAACGTCAGCATCTGAAAATAACAACCTGTCTTTGAAACTTTTGTCTGCCTGTGTGCACGAGTATCACCCCAGTGACTGAATTTAAACCAGTTAACTACTCACCAGGGCTTCATCAGCCCACCTACTTCATCTCCTCTACCCCTGTGTTGTTCCAAAGCAACTGGAAGGGGGTTTCACACCACCACCACCACCCTTCCCACCACAACCCTTTCACCGTTACGTGAGCTCGGGAAGCCCAGCATTCGAGCAGCTCGTTTGAAGTGCTCTTAACTGCATTTTTAAAGGAACAAAGCGGTTTTATAACTTTCTCTACACAAACAGAAGGCACTTATCTGAGAGCTTCTCTAATTTTCAGTCCATCAATAAGTGACACCACTACACTACAACTGGCTACCACCATGGAGACAAAGTCTGGCCGTCCCTGACCTCATAGAGATCAATCACATCAATGCTTCTGTGTTTAGGGTTTTTTTTATTAAAAGGGATCAAGGAAAGAAACAAAGCCCCCAAGCATTCAAGCTCCAGTACAAAAAAAAAAAAAAAAAGTTTCAACATGGAAGTTTTCCAGTTTCCTCATCAGCAACATTATTTGAAAGCTACATTAATAAAAGGTTGCAATTACAGAAAGACAGTTTTCACTAATTTTTTTTTCTTAGTAGTAATTCTTTAATTTCTTTTCCCTTACTTTTCATCAACTACATTTCATTTTCCTGTGAGTCAACACAAGGGAGTTGACAGTAAAAACCTGATGCAGCAAACCTTTCTGGAGGCCCTTAAGCCAAATTATTTCAGCTTGTAATCAGGATATGCTACAACCTGTATTCACATCTACCCTTACTATGGCTCCACTTCTACTCAGAAGTGTGGTTTTGCATTATTTTTTTCTGGGCTTGCAACACTTTGCTTTTGTAGATGTACATAAAGAAGGGCTCACTACCAACATCACTGGAAAGAAATTGTTTAATTTGTTTATTTTTACTTGAATTAAATTACTTTGCGTGCACCTCATGGATCTCACACAGACCACAAATTACTATTGCCATTTACTAAAACAAATGCTGCACCTGATGAACTCCTTACTGGTGAGCACCTACAAAAAACCAAAGACGTTTCTCTCCAGCAGTCCCTCTTCCCCCCTAAATTCAGGCGGGGACAGAAAAGCCAACAGTTGCCTTTAACTTCACTCCCGGTCTAAGACCATACAATAATCGCACACATTGCAAGAGACACGCATAAGGTTTGGGCAGCATCTCCATGGATTGATAGCTTGTCTGTAGAGATGTGAACTTATCAAGGTTTTGCTCAACGTAGATATCCAGACAAGCAGTTGGCAGCGAGGTTTCTTCTGCACTAATTACATTCTTTTCCAAAAGTTCACCCTGCCTGGGTGTCCAGGTAATTGCAATTAAGGCAGGAATCTGGTAATTAGAAATTCAAGTGCCCTGCCAAGAACAATACACTTCCTCTTAACGTGCTGCCCAAAGAACTAATTCACTTGGAAAGGACAGAAGCTGATGTGAAGTGGCAGAGTAGATGTTGATTAAGCAACAACCACAGAAATAAATTCCCTTCCCCCTAAAATCAAATTCATTACATCTCATTTAGACTCCTAGAAAGTGTTTTATTACCTTTGAAACATTTAACATAAATGAGAATTCAAAATTTCAGATCTCGAAACAGCAGCATTTTTTGCTCCCCAGCCTCGGAGCCCGTCTGCTTAGAATTTCTGGAACATCTTTTTTGAAGCTGAAAATACACTCCCCTCACTCTCCCACCAAAATGCTAACTTTGTATCATGACTGAGCAATTACTGCTCATGGGCATTATTTGGTAAATATCAAATCACTTCGTAATCTTTAAAGTATGTTTAACACAGAAAAACAAATAAATTTTTAAAAAGTATAAAGCACAGCCACTCACAATTTAGTGCTCTCACTGCACAGAAAGATACTACACTGTCCTCTAAATTCCAGATTTTGAAATGGTACTGTTAGCTGGAAATGAATGGTTAGTTTTTACTCTCCCTATACATTCCTTTCTAACTCACAGTTCTTCTTATTAATTCAGAATAACATCTCTATCTCAAATCTCGAGCTTAGCCTCTCATGCTTTATATGAGCTTTTTCTTTCAGGAAACACAAAAAGCCTTTTTCTACCCAGGATAAGAAGACTCTCACTGTGTGTATATCTTGTACATGTGTGTGTTTGTGTATTTACATAAAGCTACATGAACACTGAGGTTTCTGTCCAAACCAAGGCCCTGGAATCATGTGCCTGGCTTTAGACATGGCAGCGTCTATTCATTTTTACATAGCTGAGTAACTTGAAATTCAAAGTTGGAGGGCTCTGGGCCGATGCTGTTGAAAATTCTTGGAAAAAAAATGGGGCGTGGGAGGAATT